CCTGACTGTTCGTATGAGTTATCGACCCAAAGCGTTACTTTTTCTTCAGTTGGATGAGAATGGGTGCTAGATTGTAATTTTGATTGAATATGTCGCCTGCCACCATTTGGCCAGGGAACAGAGAGTAAAGGATAAGTTGTGCTCTTTCACTTTCTGCGAAAGTATAGTAGGCGCGAGCATTAGGGAATTGGTGCGTCAGGCGGGAAGGAAGACGGGTTGACGAGGTCACGGTAATCATAAACAAGGGATTACGCTACTTGACCAAGTGGGTTCAGGGCGGATCGGGGGCCGGGTAGCCGGGTGACAGTGCACGTTAGACAACATAGACTTTAGAAAATCAAGCTAAGGGAGGGGATCGATGTCGGGTCTGAGTCTCTAACAGAGCCTAAGGAATGTGAGAAAGCGAGGATTAGAAGGGGTAAGGAAGAAGGAGGGAGAAGATAGGAGGGGCTCACAAGTGTAGGAAGAAGGAGCAAGGGGGAAGACGACAAGAAGCAAAGTGGGCAATAGAGGAGAAGGGGAAGATAGATGGAATTTGCTGGTTAGTGAATGCTAAGGAAATAGCCTTGGGACAAGAAGAGCTCATGGAAGAAAGGACATAGATCTGGTTATTCCCCTAGCAGTCACCACCCCCCTCCTCGCGTGCCTATCCGTCTTCTCTCCCCCCAAAAAAACAAAACAAAACAAACAAACAAGTACATATCACAAAGTTTTTTCGCGGCGGGGTCCTAAATTAATTTTTGGTTTTACGCAACAAAAATGCCGCGTATTGTGCATCATCAATGGAGTCACAGAATGAGGGAGTCAACGCTGATGATTAGAGGAGCAATGCGTCAAATAGCGGCGAGACAACTTCATACCCCGGTTAGAACGGAGTTGGCAGCAAGACAGAAACTGGGCAGGGAGAACAAGGAAAACTCATCTGTGACTCACATGATGGAAGGAGAAATTCTAACGATGGAGGAACAAAAGGAACAGAATGAGCACAAGGGCAACTCAGAACAGGCCATGGAACATGATTCCTTGAATCAGGGGCAAAACGAACAGCAGGGAGGGATGATCGTCAATCCTCTGACACAGACAGCCGGGGGGCAGGCCACGAATTATGTTCTGGCACCGGGAATCGGATCGGTTTTGACTTTCAGACATCAGAAGATGTCAACGGCATCCCAATACTCGCTGGGAAGTAGAGGGAGTTTGGTGTTTCAGACAGGGTCCTCGCAAGGAGGATTACAAGATTTGAGAAGAGAAAGGAGAGGGGAAGGTAATTGAGGACGAAAGGAAGGGAGGACGGAAGAACTGGGGAAAAGGGTGAGGGGGGTGGAAGATAGGAGTAAGGGGGTTGGAGGTATCATGGGGGAGGAGGGAAGTCAGGGGGAGGGCCAGGGAGGGAGGGAGATTGTTCTTTCGTCACAACAGAATCATGAGTTCACTTCCAACCCCGTACCCCAGGAGCGGATTCAACATCAAGGGAGGTCACCCCCACAGGACACGTCGGCACATTGCAGCAGAAAGACGGTCCTTCGCCTTGGGTGCAGTGTGTAAAGGGGTTTCTTCAAACCATGGAATTAGAGATTAAGAGGCAGGGAGGACAAACACAACCATTAAAGATCCCTCTGTGTAATCTCCCCACACTCACACACACAGCCACACACACACACGCACACACACACACACACACACACACACACACACACACACACACGCACGCACGCACGGACACACACACGGACGGACGGACCGACGGACGGACCGACGGAC